AGACACCTGTCTTTCAAACCAAGACAAGGAGACTGCAGGTCGCCCGAACAGGTCATAAGCTTGGCAGAGGCAGAAGCCTTCAGGCACTGCAACAATGCAAAACAAATAATAATTTGTGGCTCAAAATTCTTACGAAAGGGGAAGGTAGGGAAAAGCCTAAAAAATTTGCTTTCCTGCCACTTGAGAGTTCCTGAGCCTATGAATCGCTAGGTAATTCAGGAACACATTCAGGCAAGGAGTACGCTGGAGCCTGCACAAGGCCACCGTTCAAGGTGCCCAAGACCTTACATTCCAAAACTGAGGCAGCACGACCGAAGTGGCTGGGCTGTGCACAGGCCAGGCAACCAGCCAGGCTCTGTGGCTGGGCTGGGTTTGTTTTTGCTTACATACACTTATGCTGTAATTTAGTGTTTTCAATAAACAGGAGCATAACTAAATTTAAATAAACAAGCTTAAAAGCTAAACAGTGAAATAAAGATTTAAAAACTTACTCAAGTACCATTTTGGCCTGTGTAAATACCATGTCTGTAGGACAGCAATATAGAAATATGGTTACAGTGTCTTGCCTTTTCATAAAAGATCTGAACAAGAGTCCAGAAAAGAATACTGGTTTTATACCTAATCAGCTGTAATGAAAGAATATGAAGAACTGTCATGTGCCTATTAGGGGAAGTGATCAGATATTCTTTTATACTATCAACTAACACACTGTGCCGATACGTTTGTAGTGCACACAAAATTAGAATTGAAGGCCCTTCTGCTCCACCAAAATCTCATTTATAATCTCTGTGGAAATACTCTTCCTGCAGTTATTTCATTTATGCTTCCTTTATCTAATTACTGCAATATTGGGTCTGAATCATATTTTCTTAATGTACCCTTATTCAATTATAAAGTTATTTTCAAGTATAGTTACTTTATAATACCAAGTATATTGTTCTGCAGCCTTTGTCATTCACCTAACTATTTAACTGACAATGTTTTCTGAAGGTTTCGCTTCATTTCAAAATCTGGTTTTTCTCCACAAACACAATATATCAAATTACCTTTTTTCTCATCATTTTCAAGACAGAAATGAACAGTTTGATTATTGCAACCTTGCAATCAGGCCTCTCTCTCTCTCTCTCTCTCTCCCTCCTTTGTTTTTTGCAGGCACTAACGTCAAGAGCTCAGCAGAAACCTCCCAGGAAACAGCAACACTCTGGGCTGTACAATGTTCTGCTCCTGCCCCCCACAGATACATACATTTTCTTGCCTTACAAATCCCTTCCTACCCGTTGTTTCTTTTCATCTTCCCTCTCTTTTTCTGTGCTGCCTATTCATTTATTTTCATCTTCCATGTTAATCTTCATAGTCCTTCACGTATGCTGTATCTGCCCTCTGAAGGAGTGGTTCACACACAGCAGAGCCTGCACTTTCTTAAAAGCAACAGGACCTGCTCGTGAGGCTTAATTTTGCTGGCCTCCACGCGCCCTTGAGTCACACAGGGAACTCAGGGTGCCCATGGCTGCGTCCACTGCAACTTGTTATAATGTCATTAATGTCTCAGGTACCTTCAGTGTATTTCAGGGGCCAAGACGCTCTGTCTTTGTGTGCAGAAAAAGAAACTTTCATCACACGCACAGCCCTGGGCCTCTTGCTCTGGATGGGCGGTGCAGAGCCAGCAAGAGCCGCTCACCTGCAACTGCACAGCAGGTATCGGGGAAGGAGCGGGACCCTGGCTCCCATGGCAGACTTGGCCAGGCTGAAGCAGGAGGTGAACTGTCCCTCAGGACTGCTGGCAGTGTGTGATCCTACACTGAAAGAGCAATCCAGGAAAGGAGGTGGCAGCATGCAGTCCCTGTGTACAGGCTCTGACCCGTGGGGCTGAAGGTGGCCCACGCTACAGGGCAAACGCAGCTTTGTTAACTTTCACGCCTACGTGAACACTAGGCATACACCATCCTTTGTGCTTTTCTTGAAGGGTTCAAATGCTTAATTCACGTTCTCACTTTGCTCTACTCTGGGTGAACAACCCTGGAAAAGACCGTAACACGTCAGAACTGGCAGGGTATCTCCCCTTGTTAACTGCCCCTTCTCATTCTGGCAGAGACTCACAAACATGGATTTGAGGATGAAAAGACACAGACCTTTAATGGCGAGGAGCTGACTTAAGTTACTGTGGCCTCTGGTGTCAGCGGGAGTCAGTGAAGAACTCAGGCACATAGTTTGATCCCTGTAACTGAGCAGAGGTCTGCAAGCAAACCATGTGGGGTGTGACCAGGCGGCAAATGCCAAGGAAAGACACAGTCACCGTCAGCTAAGAGGAGACACGTTTCCTCTTAACACCAATTCTGCCTTTGTGATACAGCCCAGAAAACAAAGTCTGTGCTCGAGTCCTGCCTGTCCACAAGCAGATCGAGCCCAGCTCCAGGCGTTGGTGTGTACATACAGTATTTGCGAAGCTGGAAAATCTCACTAGGAGTTACTGCACCATAAACCTACCTCTTCATTTGTACCTAAGTGGGGGCCCTCTTCCATTTTACAGTAGCATATTTAATAAGTAAAAAACAGGCATTCATTAAAAATAAACGTATTTCTTGCTAGAATTTGAGCATTTTCACATACAGTGTTTGAAAACAGGCATTTAAACCAAATCCTGCAGTGGGTCACTCACTAAAGATTTGATTTGAAGATCAGCGTACAAGTCATAAACAGTCTCATAAAGATGTAACTATCATAATAACTTTCCTTTTCCCAGTTGGAAATATAAGATGAACTGTTCTGAAGCACCTAAAGTATGACTAATGTTTATTTGTTTTACAAGAAGCTTTACAGCTGCAATGTTCCAAGAATGCCTAAATTCAATAAACAGCTATTATAATTCACTGAATGGTGGCATTTCCTCTATAAGAAAACATAACCTATCCAGTCTGATTTTTCAGAATCGGTAAAAAAACTTTCAGGTAGATTACCCCAACGTGAGATTTAAACGCTCCTGTCTCCTTGGCTGTATAAACAGTACAGCCAGATTCTGCTGCTCGAAGTTGATGAGGCAATACTCCATACAAATTATTTTGATGCATATTTTTTTCTTATGTTACAAGTGATGTTATTTGGCATGTCACACCATATTACAGCTCATGAAGCAGACGATTTAATGGGTGTGATGGTCCCTCTGAGCAGATCCGAAATCGGGATTTATCAACTACGTTATTTCACTACTGTATGACATCCCCCAAATGTATCCCCTTAAGTTCTCACCTGTCCTTCCCAGTTTCCCGTTTAAAAAGGTCATCAAACTGAAGCATCTTGTGGCGAGAAATCATATATGCTTTTAACTGAGGCAGTATCTGATTCATCAGCTGCAGGTTATTGTACACCAGGCCTTTACCATCTCTCCTCATGTAGCTGCTCGGACCCCAGAAGATAAACACGGCACCGTGGCTCATATTTAAGAGTTCGTTGCGATTTCGCAAAATCCTCTGAATGCTGGAGTGTGCAATGACTCGGAGGCTCGTTTTGTTTCCAACATCTTTTCCGTAACCTCGGGTAGGTGCGTCATTCATTCGTATTACACACTCCGTCTCATCGATTCTGTCGCCTTGTTTGCTTCCCAGAAGGTGTCCAGAGCTGGTTACCAACGCACAACTCTTGCAGTGCATTTTTAAAGGCTGCAAAGACATACACACTTCAAAATTAGCTGCAGACATCTTCCCATGCGCTACATGATAACTATATTTTACCTGCACATGGCATATTTGACAAATCTCAGAAGACTTTACATAAATCTCTCCCAAAAAACTGGGGGGACATTACCTGTATATTTTGTAGATGGGGAAAATGTGGTATAGGTGTACAGCCCTTAAAGTTCCTCTGTGGAGTTAAGTCCACTGTTTAAACCTTCCTTTCTACTGCTGCTTCACATACAGTAATCACAACAGCTTCTACACTGTACCCAGCCGCTCAGGATTGTACTTCTTCCACTTGCCATAAATGAGCTATAATTGGAGTACTTTTTTTTTTATTCTCCCAATTTTTTTTCAGGAAATAATCAATCCTAAGTCCTCATAAGCACAGCTTATCTGAATCATCTTTCAACCTTGGGGTCAGGACATTTTGCAAAGGAAAGAGTTATACCTCGGTCTAGTCCTTCCACGCTATTTCCACATTGGTGCTGTAACCACCGCAGCACCCTTGTACCTCCACTGTGGTTCAGCAGCCAGAGCTGGTCATGACAGCCTGTGTTTACTTTACACGACAGTGAGTGAGCACATTGAACTTTTTCTGGCTTGTCAGGTCATGTTTAGAAGTTACACAGTAAAATGGAGCAGGAGGCGCCTGTTCAGCGAGTGGCCAACCGAATGGAACCAGGAGAGTAAAACAAGCTTTCATGAAAATGAAAATGCACGATAGATGGTATTACAGAAGTATGACACCAATGTAGATACTGGTAATGGGGGTGTGTATCTGCTGCTCAGCATGAGAACTAAAGGGGGGGTAAAGGGTTAACAGCATCCCCAAAGTGCACCTTTCTAACAGGAATACCATAAACCGGCAGGTGAGGACGCTTCAAAGGTGTATCTCGGTGGCCCTCCATGAACTGGTATCTTGTAGCATTTACCACCAGTAACATAGAGTTACAGAACATACACAGCGTGTATCTTACTGTTTCTTGGCAAAAAAAAAAAAAAAAAGGCAGACTGAACTGTGCTGGCTCACTGGTCTGAGGGTCCTTGGAAGGCCATTTTGGTTCATGCTCATTTTGATCTACTGATCTGCTTCCCTAAGGGTGTCCCTCTTAGCATGTTGTTTTCATGGGAACCACAGAGAACGGCATTCCAGTACCTCCTGGTGAGTCACAGGCCTGCTGAATTCCAGAGGCTCCGGATCGGGCACACAAGATGCTGAGAGCAGGCGTCTCCTGCACTGTGGCACTGGCCCGATCCTGTAGCACACCGAGGAGGTGACAGTGCTCTGAAGAGCACTAGCACCCTACGCCCAGCTCTACGAGGGCGTCAGCACCCTGAGATGAAACGCTGTGGCTCTCCATGGCAGCTCCTTGTTCATGCCATTACAAACACAGCGAGTGTGTCTCCAGGTGTAAACCTGGTGGGCTTACTAGCAACGAGGAGAAGTTACGGTGACATGTAATTACACTTCGTCTCAACCATGTGTCTACAGGAATCAAATGGTGCATCAGTGTGCAGTGAGGCACAGCTGAAAACACTGAAGCTGAGAAGAAGACATCACCAATGTTTGTGATAATCTCAGGCCCCTGTTTGAAAATGCTTTGGCCCCTGGTATTTGAAGGGGGTATTTTACTTAATATCTTGGTTTTCATTTTGAAGGTAGTAAGCCGTTGCAGTCTGAGCTTTTTTCTATGAGAATAGCTAATGAACGACTAAGTGCTTTTTAATTAAAGGCAAAATAACTAAACTATACAGGTTACATAATGATACAACCAGTAAACTTTGTATGTCCATCCTCCCCAAACAACAAAGTCCCTTTTCTTTCTCATACACGGACTGTAATCCAGAGCTAATGATATGAGTAGAAATGTTCATGCCTTTGTGAGCCAAGGTTCCTAGTGCAGTATTTACATGCATTTTCCTTTCAGCTTTCATCTGCTGCTTTGATGAATCGCCTAGCAAAAGGCTCTAAGGTGAACTAGCTGCTCCACCATCATGCTTGGGAAAGCAAGATGAAGTGCTAATGAGGCTAAAGGAAATGTAGTCAGCACCAATGTTAACTCACATGGGTTTGAATACCCACATAGCCAGACATTTTCACCGAAATGATCTCTGCTAGTTTCTGGCCTACTGAGCTACAACTTGCTTGTTTCTTTTAAAAGTCTGCCAGAGAATCCATCAGTTGTTAGGAAACACGACCATCAGTGGAGCTGTGGGAACTTGGGGAGGGAGGTGAGGGAGGGGATGTCAGCATTTGCTAGATGATAAACATTAACGCCCGGCAAAACATCTGTCCCAGACCTTGTTTGAAAACTCTTCCTTCTGGGAAAAAGTCTCTACGGTGAAACATCCAGGTATTGCCTGGCTGCTTGAATGATGCATGGGGGCTGAGCCCGTGTAGCTGCTCCAGGCAAGTCATCTGCACTCCCCTCGCTCAGGTTCTTTCAGCTGAAGCCTACAGAACTCGCACCTAGAGAGTGTCAGAGGAATTCACAGCCAACAGCCACAACATTGGTGTTACAGCTGTTTACAATGCCTTGACAACACTGAAAGCAAGGGGGGGAAAGCTATTGGCTGTAGTATCATCTCATCGGGAGGCAGCGGTTACACCAGAAATGTCATCCACTTAAGCAATAATAATGGAGGCACACGGCAGTTCTTTGGGATTGATGACCAGCTGGGAAAAGTTGATGGCCTGAGAATAACCAGGGGCCATTAAGCCAGGAGAACATTAACTGCACAGAAAGCTCTCTGTTACAGTAATTATTACAGTGATATTCGGGGAAAAAAGCAAACGAAAAAAAGCAAACCCATGACATATGGGTTGTATTTTAGGTAGGCGATTCAACCCTTACTTCATGAGCCTTGCTTCAAAATGCCCAGAAAAGGGACAGGGCGAGAGGTAGGTGAGTTTTACAGCATCTCTATTAATTACCTTGAAACGGATCACACATGTAAAAGCTGCTGACGTTTAATCATACTCATCGTCAATACGCAGCCACGGATTCACGTGTACCTGAACTACGTGTACAGCACCTCGCACGACACAGCAGAGCGTGTGGCCACATCTACAACACCCACCAGTTGTATCAATACTCGGGGCACTCAGACAGTGAACGAGCCAAGCATCAGCCAAATGAGCCGCCCAAACTACCTCTTAGTTCCAGTCCCCTGAACATACACACGGTGAGAGGGAGAACAGAAGTTACAGGACAGCGAGCTCACCGGGCTAGAACAGTGCCAGAAGACGGCAAAATTGGCTGGTGCTTTTCCAGGATAGATGGGTTACCCCAAGGGAATGAAGGGAGCAGGTGAACCTTGGCAGCTTCTCGTAAACCCCATGACAGCACTTTGGTGGCCACAGCAAATGACTGCAACCTTGCCCTGCTGCAAGTGCCATTGGCCAAACTGATTGCTGGCAACTTTCACTGGCAGAGGCTATAGCCCAGAACTACTGTGGCTGTATCACATACCTCTGATTTGTCTAGCACCCACCGACAGACAAACGGTAACAAAAAACAACGCCACAGTTGTTTCTGTATTTTCCAATTTGAGGCAAATCTGCTCTGTTATTGACTTTAAAATCTATGTTGTCCAACGATAGAAAAATGTTATTTTCTGACACTTTGTTGCTTGGAAAAAAAATCAATGGAAAAATGTTATTCCTGATTCAAAAGACGCTACTCTTAGATATAATTATTTTCTTTGTGATTAATTTTTTTTTTTTTTTTTTTTTTGGCTTGTAGAAGTCTTTTGATTTAAAGAGCAGAGATTTAGAAAACAAGACAGTTTCCCCCAGTAAATTCAGGAACACTGGAAAACACACTTTTTTCTGTACTGAGTACTTAATGACCTACTTTCAAGACCCCTGGGTTCAGATCACTTCATTATCAGTAGTTTCCGTTACATAAAATAAAAGATAGAGTATTTTTATCTTGGCAATGATGACCTGGCCAACAAACAAACGAATGAAGAAGAACCTTCTGGAGTGAAGAACAGCTCATTACTGAGTTCAGCAGAAAATCACTTAATGAACGCCAGCATTCCTCATAGCTACATCTGGAAATACTACAGACGACTTCAAAGAATATTGAGAGAGAGCAAGAGAGACCAAGAAAGGTTAAAGAATATCTGAATTCCTTTTGGATGAATGACCTTTAACTAAGCATTTGAGACTAAAAGGGCAAAATATCAGCAAGGTACTTGACAGCTATGTTTTTCTCTTGCACTGCAACATCTATACAGCATTTTATTAGCCAGCGCCAGCATGCTTGTCTTCTGTCTGATCTGGAATGAAAAGCTGCGAGGCTTCTTCACTCTGTATTAACTACCTGAACCATATTACTGAACCAACCACCTCCTCTGCAAGAGCCCGCAGAGTGCCTGATAAAGTAAAAAGCAGCGGTAGAAATAAGAAGACTGATGTACAGGGAAGCAAACCTATTTCCATTTTCAGTTCAATTTATTCAGTACAGAGCTATACTAATAGTTGAAAAAGCATACATAAACACAAGACACAGTTTTACTGGTTCAGGAGAAAATGAACTTATTCCAGAGCAGCCTAGCTTTTTCTTTTTGTTATAAAGCAGATAATGTTGTTGGTAGGCGTTTCATGTCTCCCCCACCCAGTGCCCATTGTGCCTGGGCTAAGCACAACAGCAAACCCTCACTGTACGTTACCTCAGTATTTGCTTTGTACGTTCCTTGCCTTGTGCACAGAACTTAATCAGCATTTCACACGTGATGTTAATGAACCTTGTGTTCACCCCATGTTCAACGTAATTTATTACTTACGGCTTGCTCTTGATTGCTGGGTCATCAGCCACCAGCAACAACACTGATCAATTAATGCATTGCCAGTAACACAGTAGTTTGTTCCGGCAGCTTCACTTCTAGCTTTTTACTGTCCTGTAGCTTTGAGCAGCTTTGAGGTTTCTCACAAGCTGCTGCCTCAGGACCCCTGCTCCACTGGGCGGGCTGCTCCTTAAATTTCATCTGGCTGTCCTCCTCTCCCAGAGGCC